CGTTCGCGTGTGGGTGGGTGAAACCGTAATGTGATTGGGACGACATGAATCTTTGAGAAACAGAAACTGTTCCCCGGGAGTACGTGCCGGAACTTCTTGAAACTTTCGCTTTTGCCGCAGCGGAACGACGTCAAACGGTTCCGCTTATCGCGACCGCTAGGGAGGGAAAAGACGGAGGGTCTAAGAATCTCGCAAAGTCACGAAAACTCATTCATATAGGAAATATAACAGACGACCGTCCCTATGTATATAAATCGAACAATCACGACAATTGCCTCGTCTTATAAATGAATAGATCTTGTAAGTATACTTCAATTTTGAGATGTATTGATATTTGACATCCGCTGTCATATATATGCTCGTATCTACAGATTAACTCTCAAAAGTTCTACTGTCTTTCTTGTTATTTATTCTTCCTATCTTTAGATGAATTTTTAAGATTTCTTCTAATATTTTTAAAAAAATTTAACGGTGTTTTCATTAGTTTTGATAAAATAAATAATTAAATATTCTCCATACATTTTTATTTTACCTTTTTCTGTCAATTTATTTTAATAATTATTTATATGTTTCTGATTGCTTCTTATTTAATATTTTTCAACGGATATGTAATTGTACTTTAAACGCGGCACTCCACATATACATACATATATGTTTTCGCAGAGTCTGATCGCCGTCTGACTGCCTTGTCAGATTAATCTAATACAGTCTCATCAAGTTATTCTCTAAATAATGCGAGTAGAACATATGTCAAATTTGTCACGTTTATAGTCCTGCTCTAATAAGCTGTTGAGATTTAATTCCGGCTTATTAAACACCATGAACTACCTTTCGTAATGTATTCAATGCGTATGGCCTCTATATTATCAAAGTGTATGTGTATGGGTGTGTGTGTCAGCGCGCGTGTATACTTAGCATAGATATTAATTACTGTCTAATGAAGAGTCTCTCAGTATGACTTCCATTTCGAGACATATTCAGAGACTTAAAGGTACTTACGATGGTCGCCCATAATAGACGAAAACGACAGCATAAAATGCACATATACGTACCATTCTCTCTCTTTTTCTGCATATAGAAATTACATTTATGATTCTATAGTAGCACTGATGGCGCAGATTAGCTTCGTTTTCATTTAACTCGCTTTGTACGACACGATTCAATGTGTGCATTCATAATTACCCATTTAGAAACTATGCCGTTACACACACATATGTATATATTTATGTATATATATATATATATATATATAAACGGTGAAATCATGCATTTTCCATAGTTGCAGAATTTTAAGCAAATCTTGAAAAGCTTGGGAGAGTCAATTAAAGCGTTATTAAAGTTGTCGAAGAATTAATTGCGCGCAGAAGGAGAAACAAATTAACTTCCTGCAAATTACTCGTTCAGAAAATAAGTATTGCTTTGTTCCGACGTATCGGCCACGAATGCGTCGACGAGGATTCAGCGTCTACTGTTTAATACAGTTCTTCTCTGTTAGTTTAGCGGACTAATTGTAAGTAACGGTCGCGCTTCCAGCTCACAATCGAATCTCATTTGCGAGATAGATCGATTAGTTAAACGAGATGTCTTCGTGAAACGCTTTTCCGGTCGCTCGTACAATAATGCATAAATCCTTGCCAATAAACTTTTGTAAAAAAAAAGCCGGCATTCACTGCGCTAATCACTGCAATAACAATAACAGTTGCAATAATCATGATAACCGCATAACGATAATAATAGGCTATTAGTGCGAACGTGACATACAATAGAATCTCTAAATACAATGGATTCCTCGCTTTCGGGCGATGTTACACACACGCTACAATTTTCATAATTATGTTCGGCGGAATAAAATTTCGTGAAATAAAAAAATTTAGCTATCTTGAAAAATTTTACGCTATGCGATATACAATAGCTAACAAAGTTAAAACTTAATGATTCAGAAATTTTAAGAAATTATTTAAAAACCTATCATTTTAAATATATATATATTTTTTGTATACTCTCTTCGGATGATGTATTCGGATGATAAATTTTTTATGTCTGCCATTTAGGTTAGGCTCAACAGTAACAATAACTAATGTAACAAACTACATATACATACGGACGATGGCGTCAATGCAGTACTTTGTAATCTGCGAAAATGGAATTTTTTCAGAACAAGGAAAATGAAAAAAACTTTTAAGTTTGCACACAATCTATCTGATAGTATAGCAAAGTTTGCAAACTTCCTGCCGATCCTCTCTCTTTTTTTTTCTCTTAGTAACATATCTTTTCAGCAACAACGACTTCCGAACCGCATGACTAGGTCGGAAACTCATTTCCTTAAGAAATGCGAATACGAAAGAATATTATGTAGGAAGATCCTAGCGCGCAGAAAAAATGTCATCAGTGAAAACATCGGTGTTAAAATGATGAATTTCAACTACAACGCTTTTTTTCGTGGTTTTATCCACTATGGAGGGTAGGCATGGCCATTGTGTAACGTAATCGTTCTATATGGTAGAGTCATATGTAGCGCGTACGGACGGATAATTTCACACGCGCGATTCGCGATCGAGGACGACAGTTTGCGAAACCGTATCTCGTGACAAAAATACGTCGGATTTTCGAGCATTTTCAAATGGGGAAAAGTAATTTCCCTCGGAAATATCCCGGAGGATGAGACGGCTCCGCGCGAAGGTTGACGATTATCGAGATTCTTTTTTGCCCGCCACTGCCATCGTGCTCAGTTTTTTTTACGACCGTGATTTTTGTACAATCCCGAGAATATTTCTCTTCTGTGTCGGACCGTTAAATCCCCTTCTTGCTCGTCGCTCGGAACATTACCGGAGTGTCGGGCGGGTTAAGGGTTAAACTTGGGAATCTCTTCCTGCCGCCGACTTAATCCCCGAGATTGCGGAATTATTATCACTTTCGGGAATCCGCTCAAAAAACAGCGCGCGGGGCTGCCTTTTACGCGGAATTTTAGCGTGCGAATAACGCGTCTCGTTTCTCCAAAACGATTTATCTTCGTGACATAATTATTTTACTTTTTCGAGTATGCGTAAGCTTCGATCTACATTCGCGCACAGTATATCCATGCAAATTTTAATAATACCTTCGCGTACAACCTTTTGTCGCAAACGCAAAACGACCCGAAAGCGACAAACTTTTTTTGTCGAGTTCTTTTTCAAAGAGCAGGGAGCGATCGTTTTTCGATACGGATATTTTATTTCGTAATTCCCTCAATTAGAGAGAAAATGACTGGTATAGCGCACAACCGCAGACTAGCAACAGGTACAAGAACTTGTACCATCTGGCGTCGATACGCCGATCTACTTCCACCGAGTCATCAAGAGTAAATTTGACAAAAAAAAATGTTGGGTAGTCGCGTATTATAAAATGCCAAATTGCGACAGTTTCAATTTTATAAAACACTTTTATAGCGATATATCATTATACACAGATGATAATAATTACTTTTCGATTACTCACAATATATCGCAGATTTTACGAATAAATAATTTAGTCTTTCTATTATTTATGAAAGCTAGTGCCCCTTGCGGTTGATAAAAAATTCAACGTGTAGCTAAAAATGTGTTAAAATAATACAATCGAAAAAGATCTTGTCCATTTTTTTCTACAGCTGTGTTCATTTTGTTCTGAAAAAGCTATGTTCTGCGTGAAAAAGTATTCTGATAATAGATTTATTATCGGAAAAGTTTTCCAAACCATGGTTCACACCGTACACATAACAACAAATTCGCTTCCAAAGATATTCCATAAATCTTATCTCGGAGAGGTTGCAGAGGATAACGCAAAATTGGATACAGCAAAAGGTGTAGAAGGATAGAGTTGGGGCGAAATTGAAGAAGAATCCTCGAAATCAAATAAGAGAGATGGAAAATGAGTCAGCACCGGAGGATTCGTTTATAATAAAGAGTTTCTCCTGGCAAGAACTTAGCCATTGTCGGAACGCTTCGTGAGAATTAACTACAATTAAGGCCGATTTGCCGACGGGCATGATATTTTACGAGGGCGATGGTGGATACACGAAAAGACGATAAACTTTCGGGCGATACTTTCTGTTACTTTAGCAACTCGTTTCGTTGCGCAAATTGTGGCACAGTACATACGGGTACCGACTACTTTATGATTAAATCTTTAATTTTGGCACACCAACGAGACGCCGCATAGAAATAGCGCGGCGTGCGATACGGCGTTATTATTATTATAATATCATGTCACCTGAGCTTATTCATATTATATTATACTGCATTTTCATATTATATTATACATAAATACATAATACTAATAAATACAATAATATTAATAGTCATTGTCAAAATTTTTGTTGAGATTTACTCTTTAATTTATTTTCATGTTTTCTATTTAATTCGCGAATATTTATTGGTCAATCTGTATTTTTTTCATTGAATATTATGTAAACCATTACCTATATAATCTATTTATCCAGCAATACGTGGTACATGAAATGGTAGTTTTAAAATGCATGGATGGCTGGAAAAAAATAAAAGACGTTAATATTATGTAATATCGCACACGGTGATCAATATCACCTGTTTTGATAGGATGCAGCATTTAAATCTTCATCGAACAATTCAAATGCCAAATACAATTACATTGCATAATTTAGCGTAATTTCCTATTTATATTAATTGGATAAATCCGTTATGAACACACAATGTTATACGAGTATCAATAAATTGTAGCATTTAAATCTTCGTCAAATGATTCAGAATAATAAATATACTAATATCACATATTTGTTTCATTTTTTCCTTTAATAGAACCAATGCAGCAGTAATTACCAATAATTATGCATCTGTTCGATAATATAATATAATCTCTTGAAACGCGTAGCACGATGAAAACGCAAGCTGTTGCGATAATATTCGCGAAGAAATAAAGCGATCAGAGGGGAGAAACATTACACAAAATCCCAACTTTTAACTTTAGTATATAATTTCTAACAGATTGATAATAGAACTGTCGCTCACCGTCAATGTCGATTTCCTGCAGCATCGTACTCAACTCCTCCGATCTCGCAAATTGTCCCAGAGAACGCATAACTCTGCCGAGTTCTTCTTTAGTAATCGTTCCATCGCCGTCCTTGTCAAACAGCCTGAAGGCCTCTCGGAATTCTGTAGAGGAAAAAAAGAAAAAAATAGTGTGAGTAACCGTTTTGCTTTTTTCTGGAAATAACTGAAATTATTTCAACTCTCCAATATCTCTGAGAAAATTCTACAATTGTAATATCGAACATATAAAATATTCCAATATCTATCGCCATATTGTTCTCATTTACAACGCAATTTTCGAGAATTTTTCTATTCTTTTTTTACGATAATTTGAAATTTATGCGCTTTGGATAACTTTGAATTTTTCACGTTTATTATCTTGGTAACTATACTGTGACATCAAGCGTGTGCTCTCTCTGGAATCGTCTCTTCCTTATGCGAAGTCGGTTACTGACTAGCCGATTAACTGACTATAAAGGTGCTCGCTAACAGGTTGAATTCCCCGAGCGAATCTGACGAGCTACGACTGTACAAGCTGTATAGGTTTGGTTCGACGGTACTTGACTCGATCGTTTAATAGCCTCGTTTCTCGCGTCATTGATTCCCGATGCACCTGCACGTTACACGTGTCCGTATTCACGCACGATTGCTGGTTTGAGAATGGAAGCTACGAGTCTCGACGTGATCGACGATCATTGTGTCTTATGCATGTATTTACGATCGTTACTTGAATCGCGTTTAGAAATCTTATATCAAATAAAATATTCAAAATGTAAAATTTTATATTTTAAAATTGCAGACGATTTAGTAACCGCATTTTGAATAGAAATTGAGTTTAAATGAGAATTAAAACAATTCTTCTTTTTCATTTATAGATTTTTGTCTACTTAAGAACGCATTATCAATCTTTGCTTTTGCCTCTTTTTCCAATTTTATTTTCAGAAATTTTGAAACACTAATATAGACGACAATATTTTACAGAAAGTCTTTAAATTAATATCTCCTTCCACAAAATAAACATTATTGATTACACGAAACAGAACAATTACTATGACTTTTTCTCAAGAATTGACTGAATCATATCAGAGAGCGAAGTTAAGCTTATGTCCCAAGACAAATTTCATTTGAGTTTCTCAGTTGAGTTGGAAATACAAATATGATTTCGCGAGTATCAAATGGAATCTTAAGATTCATTTATAATCGTATTAAGTTTCAAAACAAGTATCTTAGCAAGAACGCGATTGTATGCAAACTTTAAAGCCGCATTGTTGCTACAGTTGTGATTTTTAAAGTTAAAATTTATTATCGAGATATTTTGATACCAAAAATCGTAATAATTAAATAAACATGCTAAATGTTTTTAAAATATTTGGATACAAACTTTAGAAGTAGTGTATAAAAGTGAAATATATTATAATGTAGAGAAAAACGTAAAAAGAAAATGTAAAAAGAAAAACAAAGAAAAAAGAGAGAAAAAAAGAGACAAAGAACAGTAAAATAAAAAACTTTTATTCTGGCTTGTGATATAAAGATCAATGCAAGGGAACAATATTTCAATTATTTTTTATATTGGTATAATTCATGTTACAAGATAAAATGTAATAATAGCATGTATTTTTTTTTCTTTATACTTTACGATTTCAATTACAGTGTCAATTGAGCCGATATTAGTACAATTATTAGATAATAAACAATAGTATATAGCACTGTTTTACACGTATAATTGTTTCAAAGAAAGTTCTTTTAAGACATTTTTAACAAACAAGATCTTATAAAGTCAGAAGAAAAAATACTTTTTTTCTTATAACAAATTTTTGGCGAAATTTAATCTTGTAAATTTTATTTTTCAAATCAATGCATTGTGCTTTCAAAAAAATTTTGAATATATTCGATAGAATCGATCGCACAAGTACATAAAGTTACGCTGTTTAAAACAAAGTTTAATAAATAGCTTGTTTGTAGTTAGACATGTGTTCACTCAAAGCTAAAATGTTTTTAAGGCATAACTGAAACGCCTGTTTCAAATTTTATTAAAGATAATCACGAGCTCTTTCAAGAATATTATTTTTGGTTTAAAGGAAACTTTGTTAAAATTTATAGTTGTAATGCAATAAAAATGAGCGGCAGACTGTTTATTTTCAATCTTACTATAATAAATACTTCTAAATTAATGTCATTCTGCACACAATATGCTACAAATTCAAAAGAAAAGAGCAAATTGTTCGTCTATTCATATTCTCGCGTTTCATTTTCGTAAAAAAAATTAAAAACATCAAATCTTTAATTTAAAAACTTTTCAGTTTGATTTCAGAGAATTCGTGATGAAAAATTCAAGGATAGCTTAACAAGAACAATTAAATGCAAAACAAAAGAAAGTACTACACAAAATGTGAAACGATATTACAGGCATTACAATGCAATTTGTATGACGTCGATTGGAAATCACTATTCGCGCGCTTTCATGTAAGTGGAATAATATTTCCCAGCGCGATATTTATAAAGGCAGAAAGAAAAACAGATCGTGCACGTGACGGACAACACGCGAAAAACGTTCGACGTCTACTGACACGATGTATGTACGCAATACAAAATTATTTATCTCACGTACCGATCTGTTCGATCAATTGGCCGATTTTCCATTCTCGAATGTATGTCCTGTTAAGAGCGATAACGACGAAAAAATAATGACTGTGAAACTGAATAAAGTCACAACGCCGGCGCGAAGCTATGCGACATGCGAGCGTAGTTTTATCGGGGTTAACGAGTGATGACATCAAACAGGTGAGATGTTCCCCGGGGCGTATCAAATTGAATTTACCGATGTATCTCCATCATCCAGGATTTGACGCCACGTGATCGAATCAAAAGAGTATAGATGAATTTATATTGCGACAGGCTAATCTTGTAATAATGAACATGAGATTGCTTTCGCCGAAATTATTATTTTATATTTCAACGAGCTTAGAGTTCAAATTTTATTTTTTTGACAAAAATATCAGGGAAAAACATTTTTCGTAAATAAATAAATGTTCAAGTTTCGATATCAGATATTTATAGCCTTGTATAGTATATGCATCCCATTTATGATACCAAATTTACGAATAAATTGTAATTATTTCATATGAAGTAAATCAAATTTGTAATAAAATTGAACTGGACAGTTTAAGCCTCCACTCACCCTTCATCTGCGACTTTGTGATAGGCGTCTTGTTGGACGAAACGTTGCTCGCCGATGATCGCTTTGACGAAGCCGGCAAAGACAGGATGTTCGTGGAACGGATGGCTTTGTCATTAACGGATGCTGAGGGCGCGGTGACTGTTGTTGTTTCCGTAGTCTGTGTCAAAGATAATTCTTGTGATTGCTGCTGCCGTCGTCGTCGCTGTTGCTGATCAATCGAGACATCGCTGGCGGAACATACCATTGACAAGTTCGGTGACCCCGGCGTACGAACGATGGGCTGCAGCGTCGACGATGTCATCGATGATGCTGTCATCGATGGCGACGTCGGCGTCCGTGGGGGACAATCCGAGCCGGTGTCCTCTTTCCCCTCTGTGCCATCTCCCGCCTCACCGCTGCTCTGCCTTGTCTGCACAAATAATTGTAAATGCATGCATCCATTCTTAGGAAAGTTTGGCCGTATACAAACGCAGACGGGAATTCTTGAGCGAGTGATTCCGAATTGACTCGGCGTTTACGGTTGTATAACAAAAACTCAAATCTGTTTTCATCAATTTTTATTTCGTTGATTTTGGCACAGGTTAACCGCATATTATTACTATCTTTAGAAGGAGAATTAATAATTTTGTAATCTTTAGATCTATTCTGTAATCTTTCACGGTACGTTTTACTTCGCATCATCGAAAGTGAATATAAAAGTGTATAAGACAATAAGTTTTATTTTTAATTACTTAAAAAAAGTAATATTTTTTAATAATTGAATTGTTATCACGTATATCACGCTAAAATAACATGGTTCTTTAATAAAGTATATCTCAGTGTGTTTGCAAGATGTAATTCTTCAAAAGCTACTATTGGTTAATTTCCGTTCTTTGCAAAAACATGTCTCTACATAAAATACATATCGTGTTATATATACTAACAATCTTGATATAAAACTTCATGCAATCTTGAAATTTTGAAAGAAAAAGACCTATTATATTTGAAGGATGTTTTCTTCAGAGGAGTGCTTAAAGGCTAAAGTATTTATAGCTCTTTTCGGTTGCTTTTTTACGTCTTTTAGGGTATAACTTAAAAGACTACTATAACCATTAACCGATAAACGTTGAATGACAAACAAATCGCGCAAAGTAAAGGTGCGTTAATATTTAATCCGTTTACATCAGACGCTACTAAGTTATGGAATATAAACTTCTAAGATAGTAATACGTGAGAGTATTTACCACTTGACGATGTAACTTTAATATTGGCCGCTTTAATATCAGAAAATTTAATAACCACTAAAATTTATTCAAATTTCAATAAAAATTTTCCGAGTCTACTAACTTCAATAATATAAAATAACGTAGAGATGCAAATAAACCAATATTGTCAGAAGTACCGGACTTCAGCATTCAGATTTCTGCGTTCTATGATCCGCAGCTATCACCGACCTATGTCAATCCCGCAATAACGCGAAGAGCGAAGTTGATCCACGATACGAAGAGAAGTGCACGTTATTATCGCAAAAGTTCGTGGAACGTTGACGAGTGATTAACCACTCTCCCGAAAGAATGTAATAATGCATTCATCATTTAAATGCAAGAGCATCGCGAGCGCGCGATGAATTTGGCGGCGTGATATGACGGGTGAAAATGCACAGACATCAGTTCATTTTATGTGTATGAGAGGAAGAGAAGAGACGATCTGGCAATAACTGTTCTGTTTTCGCGAAACTACGACGGGCCATTGAATTGCCATTCGCTCTTCTCGGAATTGCAATACTAACTCCGGTGAGAGTAAGAAGCACTTCAATCCCGCACGAAAGCGCCGCATAGCTGTCGAAAGCTCTCACCATAAGCTTAGCTGGCGATGCTTCTCGTTATCAGAGCGTCGAAACAAACGATAAAATCCGGATAACATGTGATCGTACGAGCGAATATAAATTATACAACTCAGACTTCCGAGACATGACGACTTTACCTCAATTCTTGCATAGGGACAGAGAGAAAAAGAAAGAGAGAGAAAGAAGTCAGGTGTTGCCGGACACGTCTCGTTATGTAACCGAGATCGACCGAGTTAATAGGATTTGCGCCGAGAAAATGAAAGGGAAACAAAACGAAAGCCATTCCGGAGGATTTATAGTTAAAGAGACACGCACAACAAATAGTAACTCAAGATTCCTGTTTCTTGAGTCCAAATTTATAGACGCTACTTATCTCCTTCCGACATTTCCAGCGGAGGAGACTTGGAAAAGCTGTAACCGAACGGAACGTCGCTCATAACGCAACAAATTCGCGTAAACGCGATATCACTGAGAAACACATTTGCATTCCTGGGAAGTCATTCTCGGAGGTCAAATTGCATTTAGCTTCTTCCGAGAGGAACATCGAAATTAGAGCGACATTTTCCGAGACAGACATCTGTCATCTCTTGACTGCGATGAGTCGCGGAGGTGAGAAACTTCCGACGGCACTTCGACGAAGCAAATGAAATTCAAATTCGCGCTGCGAACGTAGCGATATCTGGTTGATCAAATTTCAGATTCCTCAACGAAGGTTCCTCAACGAAGAACTGAAGGGAGAATTACGGCGGTTATGCTGTCGCGGTCGAAAGTTTCGTAGCTGAAACCGCGCGCGAGAGAAAAAGTTTTCTGGACGCGCCTGGTAATAAAAGAGAGAGAAAGAGAGAGAGAGAAAAGCTCGAGGAAGAACTTCCCGGAAGTTTCCCGATTCCACTCTTTTTTTTTCTCCCGGTCCAGTGACAAAATTGAATCCTCGTTAAAGCGCCGTCACGTTCCACCGATCGACATCGACACTTTCGTGTTGGACGCTCGGCACACAACCCAGATTCCTTTCCGTCCTTCCTTTCCGTCAGTTTAAATTACATTTCATTGCGTACCTTTGTAATTGCGATGGCAAGATATCCAGGCAATTTTGTCTGTTCTGTGAAAAACGTGAATTGTTTGTATCACGTCGTCTCGCGCAAAACATCGAGTTGTGTATATGTGATAGAAGTTTAAGAGCGATACATACTATTACGAAACAAAAAGATCTGCTGTATATATGTACACTTCGCGTGTGTTGACAAACACATAATAAGCACTCTCACAATGGATCTTCTTAGCGATATTTTTATATGTGAATATTGTTTCTTTCATAAAAACAATTAATTTACTTCCGTTATTATATCCGACATTTATTCTCGCTTGTAAGGAATTATAATGCAAATTTGTAATGGCTGTTTTAATAGTCATATATTGGCGCTTAGCCAAGATTATGCGGCTACTGTCCGCGTTAAAATGTATGCTTTTATAAAGGCAGTGTGCCACATGGTGTGTGCAAAAAATGCGAAAAGATTAAGGATATTATGTTATTTTTATCTATGTATTTATCATGCTTTCAAAAAGATGATATTAATAAAAGATCATGATACTTTTTGACGCAAACGACGCAATCCTGCGCGTTTATAATACATTACAGTGTAATTTATATTCTTATGACATTTATTTTAATAAATATCAAATCGTGAGGATTCTGTGATATTTAATTACGTACTGATTGTGTATGCAATGATAACAGTATATAAAATTCATAAAAATATATTTATTAATATATGTTTATGTCTGAAAAAGTCAATTTGTAATTTACTTTCTCATATCTGTGGGAAAGAAAACCGCCGATAACAACGCAAAATCAGATTTTCCGCGCATGTCGGAGTAGTTAATTCGATGTAAAAATTTAACACGGTTGCTTTTTGTGCGAAACAGAGGAAATCGTAGACTTGCGACTAGTATACATCCACTCGAGCATGACGATATGTCACAGGCAAAACGCGCTGGTTATCGATAAACGAATGTATCACAGTCGATCGCACTTCGCGTTTCCTCCTGCGAAATAATGATTTTCACTTCATCACCGACGATAATCGTTGCTGACAGCCGGAGTCGGTTACCTTAATGAAAGTAATTATGGAGAAGAATAGTTCGATGATGCGGCTGTGAATTTCTAACACTTTTAATTGACAGCTTAAAGGGGATATGAAATTTACATTCATTTTCACGCGTCTCCTTGTTGAAAGACCTTTCGCATAACTTTGTTCGTGTAGAATTCCGAATATTTTGTTTCTGTTTGAAAGTATTTTAATAAATTGCCAAGATCTTCGTTATGCTTGTTTCGTATCTTGACAAGTTTAGAGTAAATTTACAAGTCAAAATAAATTTACATGCATGATGGAAATCAACCGTAGAAACTTATAAAATTTTGTAATTAATAATAATAAATTAATTGACGAAGTTGTATCGATTTCTCTACTAATTTTACTTCCTTCCGCAAATTTTTAATTTTTGATATTAAATATCTAAGTAATTAAATTTTAAAGTAAGTTATGTTAAACATCCGCCTGAAATATTAACTGCAAAGTTAAATTCTGTTTTTTATTTTAACTACGGAAGCTACAAATTTCATTAAATTTATGCAAGTTTCTATGTGATTAAAATTTTGTTACGCTTAAAGTAAATTTCTTAACATGAGAAAGATGATAGAAATATTATTGGATTATTTACTGGGTGTGTTATAAATTACATTTAAATATATTTTCTAGGACGTGCACCATATATATCGCATCAAATATCGCGCGATGATTTAACTCCTGCAAAATTCTCCTATTTAAAAGACTTAAAAAGTTCTTGAATTCGAGGATGCGCGCAAGTAACGTCAGATAAATGATACGTATTTTTACCGAGAGAAAACGGAGAGGATAATCTACTCACATTTTTCTGATTACTGGAATATATATACCCGTTGGCCAACGACGACGTTGGCAGCGCAACGATTCATACAACGTGCATTTTTGTTCTTCCGTGACTCAAGTATTTTCAGAAAATTTTCCGAGTGCCGAAAAGACATAGAGTAACCGCGCAGGCGGACATTTCTCTTATTAGATTATCTCTATAAACGGGGGCATCTTTCGAGCAGTATATTAAATAGAGTATATGTGCCACTTCGCCCGCAAAACGTGCGACACACCTGCGGGTGTAATCCCGAACCGTGAGCTGTTTTGCAAAACGTCATACATATGCGTGGCGAATTCAATATAATTCAATAATCAAACGTGAGTCGCATTCGTACAATTTAATAACGTTTTGTTATAAATCAATTATGTTTTGCTATAGAATATACAGTCTATAACACAAAACAATTAGTTGTAAAACAATAATGCATCGTATCAAAGTCTGCCGTAAACACGCGCAATGCGATCGCGCCATGTGTGTGTGGACACAATCGTTTCACATTTATTACAATAGTAATATGTGCATTCGCGTTGACTATTGTGCTGATTTATTATTTACTCGTTTTCGTTCAAAATAAATATAAAATAAAAAACGTCGAATTGAATCGCTTCAAACGATGTTGGTTCGACAGAAAATGG